TACCACCCTCTACCACCATCACTACCACCCTCTACCACCATCACTACCACCCTCTACCACCATCACTACCACCCACCCTCTACCACCCTACCACCATCAACACCCCTCTACCACCATCACTACCACCCTCTACCACCATCACTCACCACCCTCTACCACCATCACTACCACCCTCTACCACCATCACTACCACCCTCTACCACCATCACTACCACCCTCTACCCACCTACATCACTACCACCCTCTACCACCATCACTACCACCCTCTACCACCATCACTACCACCCTCTACCACATCACTACCCCTCTACCACCATCACTACCACCCTCTACCACCATCACTACCACCCTCTACCACCATCACTACCACCCTCTACCACCATCACTACCACCCTCTACCACCATCACTACCCCTACCACCATCCACACCCTCTACCACCATCACTACCACCCTCTACCACCTCACCTACCAATCCACCTCTACCACCATCATACCCACCTCTACCACCTTTCCACTACCACCCTCTACCACCCATCATACCACCTCACTAACCTCTACCACCATCACTACCACCCTCTACACCATCACTACCCTCTACCACCATCACTACCACCCTCTACCACCATCACTCCCACCCTCCTACCACCATCACTACCACCCTCTACCACCATCACTACCACCCTCTACCACATCATACCACCCTCTACCACCATCACTACCACCCTCTACCTCCATCATTACCACCCTCTACCACCATCATTACCACCCTCTACCACCATCATTACCACCCTCTACCACCATCACTACCACCCTCTACCTCCATCATTACCACCCTCTACCACCATCACTACCACCCTCTATGAGTAACAAAGTCAGACTGTCACAAACATATGAGTGGCTGTGTCCTGCAGGTAGGCCTGGTACTGACGATTTCCAAACGACTGTTTCATACAGCCGCTGGGAAAATTTTGCCGAAAAATGTGGTCAAAAACCGAATTGTACAGTACCCAAACCAGACGAAAACCAAGTTCCATTGTACAAAGAAAGCCACTATCATGCCGAGGCATTTTGGCCAGACTAATCATAGTACATAATAATTTACACCGTGTATGATAATTATACTTATGTGTCCCTTTACCTAAATAGTCTGATTTGCTTAGGGGACTTGTCTTGAAACTTAAGTTATTTTTATTTTGGGAGGGCTGGTGATTATGGGGGTTCAGCCCCCTTAGGCCCCCCTCTTGTTAGTGCCATCACTGTGTGTGATCAGGAAAAGCTTTCTGAAAATCAAAAGTGTCCAAGGAAAGTCTTGTTCTATTCTTGTCATTAACCAGGTTGTAGCTTCTTGTACCTCCGCCTCCTCCTCTTTTAAACTATTCCATTCTTTTGCCACTCATTTTTTTATTATAATATTGCATGATGATGATCTGGCACTAAATATAACAATATCAACGACAATACACTCAGAATAGAAGTACAAACATGTATGTGCAGGGCTCCTGACTGGCAAAATGAGATGGCTATCAGGGTCCTTCACCAAATTCATCTTCAGTAATAGAGACATACAGTGGGATCAGATTAACCCTGTCCTAAACTAAACAAGGTGGGAAGATATCCTAAACAACACGGATCCAAACCTTAGCCTGGAAAGAATTAATAATGTGCCACTTGAGGTGTACTCAAGACACATTCCTCCAAGAAAAATGAGAAGATGTAACCTAGAGAGAGATGCTCCCTCTACAGGCGAAGGCGAAGAATCACACAGCTGCTCAAAGAGGCCAGTGTATATGAAATACGGAAGGAGGCGCTGGCTGGAGATACAGAAAATATCAAGATTAAGCTTAAGGAAGGGAGGCTAGTGTAGAAGTCTTCAAGTGGAAACTGGTAAGTGTCTTCACAAGGTGCCAGATCAGCCAGACTGTGATGGACATGTGGGTCAGTGGGCCATCAGCAACAACAACCTGGTTGACCTGGCTAGCTCCAGGAGTAGAAAACTCTCAGAATTCTTCAAAGGTATATCAAAGGTTGGAGACTTGTTTTGAAGCAGTTTTAATGCTGTTTTTTATTGAGGGGGTGTAGGCTTTTGGGGCCTGAGAAAATATTTTGGGGCTGAAGCCCCCCCTTCCAAGGCTTCCTCTTGGCACTTCCCCTTCTATCAGGAAATACAGATATGCAATCAGCTTTCTGTTTTCAAAATTTCAAAGTATACGTAAATTATTACAGTACTGGTTATATAGTGCATAAATAAGTTTTGGGTTTGTGATCACCCTTCACCTATGGTGAATGTTAACACACGTGTAGCTCGGTTATCCCCGGTCAAGTGAGCATCACGTTATGTAGCAGTATGGCAAAGGTGACATTCTTGTACCCTTGGTGAATGACAGCTCTGTAACACTATACGGGACTTAACTGTAACACTAATGCAAACTACAGTGCCACAGACCTTCAAGGGATGGGGGGACGGTGCCTTGTTGCTGTAATTTTATTTAGGTACAGGTAACATGTGTAAATTACCTAGGATAACCCCAAGAAGTTCTTGATTTGAGGAGTTTTAATTATTCTTTCCTTCATATCAAACCTTATTACCTCTGTGGGTTTAGCTCTTCCCCCTGAATCTAATAAGTACAGTGGAACCTCAAAAATTGAACTGCTTCCAACACAACCAATTATGTAAGTGTATTTTTGTAAGTGCTTTTATAAGTGTATTTTTAAGGGTCTGAAATGGACTAATCTAATTTACATTATTCCTGATGGGAATAAATTCATTTGGTAAAGGCACTCGAACAGACTTCTGGACCGAAGAAAGTTCGATATTTGAGGTTCCACTGTATTGTCATCTTTTGGTGATAGCACTAGACTTGACAAAAAAGTTGTATTTGTTGCATGCTTGATTACTGATTCTGTTGCATTTCAATTGGCTACAGAGGATGATATATGATTGGAGGAAAAAAATGGCTTTGCTGTAGAAGAAAAAATGAATGTAGAGCAGACAAAATTGAAATCTGCCAGAATTTGTAATAATGTGAAGGATGTAAGCGATCATGTTGGGTCGACTGACCTTGAGAGAGAGGACATTAAGGGTAACTTATGCATATCAATGACTACAATTTATGCTGGAAGCCTTGCATTACCTTGCATTATTTGGATTGTGTCAGAACTTTATAAAGTTAACATTAATTAAGCAAAATATTATCATAGCTTGATCTACACTAGTGTTTTTCATGACTGATTCTACATAACAAGCAAGTTGGTTGCAGTTCATGGGTATAATAAATTGAAGGCCACTATTATGTTCAGTAATATTATATATTGTGGGAACAGTTATGCAGTAAAGCTAAACATTTGACGACCAGTATTAAGGAGGGGTGTTAATGTTGCAGTTTAAAAACTGTAGTGTAAAGCACCCTTCTGGCAAGACAGTGATGGAGTGAATGATGGTGAAAGTTTTTCTTTTTTGGGCCACCCTGCCTTGGTGGGAATCGGCCAGTGTGATAATAATAATAATACAGAACTGCACTATACAGTGATATATATGAACAATAAGTCTCCTATATTTGGTTTGCAGTTTCTTTAGTTTTTTTCCTTCAAAACAGCATCTCAGCATTGTTTTATTAATGTCATTCACCATAATTTTAATTGGCTGTTTGTAGGTAGAGGAGCAGATGAAAGCTCTTCTTGTCACATCTTCAGGACTCCAGTGTTTCTTAGCAGTTTCCCCGAATCCCTCCGTAAATGTTACCACTCCAACAGCATGTCAAATCCAGAAAAACCACTTTTCACTTTTTATATTTTGTCTACAGGTGTTTTGTAAGTTGTTCACACTACTACAGCTACATATAGTAATTTTGGTCAATTGTACGTTGTAAATAACATGTTTACCATATTATCATCCACGTATACCTACCATCCGACTTACTACCTGCTCGACTTACGACCACTCGACTTACGACCGTGTTTTTTATGCCAAATTTCTGGGAAATAAGAAACTATTTGTGTTGTACAGTGTTTATCCTAAACCTTACAGTATAAAATACAGTACTAACAACATAAAAAGTAAAGTAAAACATACCAAAATAAAACAATAAAATAAAGTCATTACAAAATTGTTTTGCTGATATTCAGTAGTAAAGTTCGACTTATGACCATTTCGACTTACGACCGGTTTCTCGGAACTGAACTCGGTCATAAGTCGGATGGTAGGTGTATTTGAAAATTTGTAAGTATTCTCTTTAATTGATCACAGAATTTTTTTCTTCCTCGGAAGGTTTTGTTTGTAATTTGAGAATGCCCCGTCTAATCTGCTTAATATGATCAACACTGGTGTACTGTAACTAGGGAAAGGTTCAGGCAACTATTGGTGCCCTCTGATCTATTTATATAGACCAATGATCTCGTCCTTTTCTGCATAAGTAAGCCACAGATGGTCAAATGTCTGATGAATGCCACACTGTGTAATAGAATGTGAATGAACATACATAGTAGCGAACATAAGTGACATTCACACATTTATATTGTAGGTCTTGAATAGAGCCAGAAAGACTAGTACTGTACTATCGACTTTATGATGAGGTTGTGGTGCCATAGTCTTTCCTGACCTCCCCTAGCTATCACTTGCTTGTTCGGTCTTTTACCTTGATGTTTAGACTTTGCTCTTTGTTATGACTTGGTCGGTAGCAGCCTTGGCTTGCATATTTACAGACCAAGGTTCAGTCCTCAGCACGAGTTGAAATGTTTCCTTGTGCCTGCTACCCCTGTTCATCTAGCAGTAAGTAGGTACTTGGGTGTTGGCCCTGATTATTGGGTTATCCTGGGTTACTAACCCTCCTGTTTTATAATACGAACAAAATCATCTGCTTTTTCAATTCTGTCTTTCTTTCTTTCTCTCTGTTTCTCAGTCTGTCAATTAATATTTTATGTAAACAACCCATTTTTTCTTAAATTAATGAACAAGAGAATAAAAAATGAAAAATTTGACTGTCCAATGTTTTTTTTGTTGCAGGGCACGGCAAGAATCACAAAGATGCAGCTAGTGTCCGTGCCACGAATCCAATACCAGCTGCCTGTGGTCTCTATTATTATGAGGTCAAAATTGTCAGTAAAGGCAGAGATGGGTAAGTTTACTAGAATCTGCAGCTATTTAATCTTCAATTCCTTTATTGGATGGCAGGGTGGGGGAAGGGTTGTTTTAAGTTTAATATGTTTATTATGCACCCCATACCCATCCTGTGGGTGGTAGTCACCACATACCCATCCTGTGGGTGGTAGTCACCACATACCCATCCTGTGGGTGGTAGTCACCACATACCCATCCTGTGGGTGGTAGTCACCACATACCCATCCTGTGGGGGGTAGTCACCACATACCCATCCTGTGGGTGGTAGTCACCACATACCCATCCTGTGGGTGGTAGTCACCACATACCCATCCTGTGGGTGGTAGTCACCACATACCCATCCTGTGGTGGTAGTCACCACATACCCATCCTGTGGGTGGTAGTCACCACATACCCATCCTGTGGGTGGTAGTCACCACATACCCATCCTGTGGGTGGTAGTCAAAAGATTACAGAGGTATATAATTGGTCCAGGGACTCAACTCCAAAGTTTTGATAGCTGAGCAAGTTACAGAGGTAATGAACTCACAATTTACAAAGGTAATTAACTCACAATTTACAAAGGTAATGAACTCCAGGTAGGTGGGGGAAGGGGAGGTGGAAGTGCCTGATGCTGGTAAAGGCCTCTGAATCCTGGGAATTAGAGCTGCATTTTCCTTGTATCAAACCTGAATACCTCTTGTTCTCTAAGCAATATATATCCCTTATGGGTTATGCTTCCCTGTAATTATGTTAATTGATCTACCTGGAGTTTTTTGCATTACAATGGGCTTTCCTAAGAATATGCATTGTATTGTTTTTCTGGAACTGTAACCAAACCGTAATCATATAAGTAGTGAACTATCCAGTGTGACCTCGGTGTATTCTAATCAAATAAACTTGTTTATCTTTAGCAAAAGACTTACAAGGCACATGTTGTAAACGAGTGTGTTATGTGTAGCAGTGCAGGGCATATTATTGTTTCTTAGAATGTTGCTTTGATCTGTCCACAGCTCCTTCCGCTCTCTCATTGTTTCTTAGAATGTTGCTGTGATCTGTCCACAGCTCCTTCCCCTCTCTCAGTGTTTCTTAGAATATTGCTGTGATCTGTGCACAGCTCTTTCCCCTCTCTCAGTGCTTCTTAGAATGTTGATTTGATCTGTCCACAGCCCCTCAACTCATTCCCCTCTCAGTGTTTCTTAGAATGCTGCTTTGATCTGTCCACAGCTTCTTAACTCACTCCCCTCTTCCCTCATCTAAACTGACAACCCTTCTCTCCTTTCTTCTTCCCTAACTTATACACATGGCCTCAGTTTTGCAGGTTTAAGGGTCTTTTTGTATACCATAATAACCCTGACATGGAGGTTCCTTGAAGCTGGTGAGGGGCTCTTGATCCAAGGAATTAGACCTGTGCTCCAATTCCTTAAAATTCAGCAAGTACCTTGCATACCCCTCCAGGTGCTGCATGACCCATGTGGGTTTAGTGCTCCCCATGAATGTAATGTACTATAATTACATGCAGTACTAAGATGTGTATACATATATGTATTTATATACAGGCATACCTTGCTAATATGGTGCTTTGCTAACATGGCACTTTTCGATTGTGTTCACGTTTATTATTTTTGGCGGTGACGTGCACATCAGCTGATAGGTGTCAATTTTTTGTTTATTATTTTACTTTTTCATCATTTTGTTTTTTTAGGCCTAGTACTATTGTGCACTTAAATGATAGTGTAAACATGTTTTTAGGCTTTTATATGCAGCTGATGAGTGAGGAAAAAGAGGCTGTGATTTGCTTTACGGCAGCGGTCTGGAGCCTAACCCGCTGTATTAGTGAGGGATGCCTGTATACTGTATTTTTAATGTCAAGGAATTGGGAGTACAAACTCTCTCTCCGAAGTTCATTCGTATGACTTCTCTCCGTATTGATAGAACATTGTGATGATCATTATTTTTTAATTATTTACTGACATGCTATGATTGTAGTAATTTGAGGCTCTAATTTTAATGTTTTATATATATCACTGAAATGAGACAGGATAAATACAGACATGCCTTCTAAAAAGAAAAATGGAGATGTCAGGATGTCGCCAGTGAATCCTGGCCTCAGGGATGACTTGCTGCCTGAATTCGTGTGAGTATAGGAGAACCTCTTGAAGCTGGTCACAGGTAAATCACCCAAGTGTCAGTGTCACAGGTCCTTCCTTGTTAATATACAGATAATCTACACTGAGTGGAAGAATCTTGTCAGCATCCTAGATCATTGTCAAGTTATACTCACCTCTTCCTCATCTTCCTCTTTCTCTTCTTCCTTTTCCTCCCCCTCTTTCTCCCTTCTCTTCTCTCCTTCCTCTTCACCCCCTCCTCCTCCCTCCTTCCTTTCTTCCTTCACCTCTTCTCCCCTTCAATGTCTCCTCATCCTTTCTCTTCTCTCCTTCTCTCTATTCTCTTCCTCCTCCCTCCCTTTGTCTTTGGGCCTTCTCTGCCTTCTTTTCATCCAGGATGTGACTTGACAGTGGACCCCCAACTGACCAATACCTCATAATGTTTGCCCTCCTGAGTGCAGGTTGTTTGTATATTGTTCCATCTGCATTATTATGACTGCATTCTTTATGGACCACACAGGTAAGTGTCTTGTTCTTTGTTTCGTTGATCTTCATCCTTTCTTTAAACCTCTTTTGTTCTTAAGAAGCTGCTCGTGTTGCTTCCATGCATCATAAGACAGTTCATTTTCTCTGACTTTCTTGCTTAACAAATCTTCCCCCCCCCATTTCCTCAGATTCCCCTTTCAGTAATGTGTTCACCAATTTGGGGGAGGGGGGGTACCTCTGTCCATTACTCAGTGTCATTTGACTCTTCCCTTCTACCAGCCCAGCTGGGTCATAGGCAGAGCAGTTAAGATCAGACCAGGATAAGGGACAGGTGTGCTGAAGGCTGGGCTTCATCTTACTCTGTCAGTACAAAATAACAGACCACCCAGTTGTGTCATTGCTACCGTAATTAATCACTCCAAACCCCTGAAACAAATGGTGGCAGTGGTGGGATCCGATAACTATGAATGGTGGCAGCTGTGGGATCCGAACTCCCATAACAAATGGTGGCAGTGGTGTCTGAAACCCCATAACAAATGGTGGCAGCGGTGGGATCCAAACCTCCATATATGGTGGCAGCAGTTTGATCCGAACCCCCATAAGAAATAGTGGCAGCAGTGGGATCCGAACTGCCATAAGAAATAGTGGTAGCAGTGGGATCCAAATCTCCATAACACAGTACTGTACCTTGGGCACTCCCTTTCCTGATCATGCTTGCCTCTTACTCCAGCATCTCTGACTTTCTACTAAGTCACAAGGTTTTGAGGTGCTCTTCACCCTCTTTCAATATTCAAGTGCTCTCTTTTTACTCTCACCCAAATAATTTCTGGAACTTTCTCACAATCATTGCCTCTGACACTGTTCACCTTAATTTGCACCTGCACATTTCTACATTACAGGCATGCCTCACTAGCAGGGCAGGCTAGATTCTGGACTTCTGCCATAAAGCAAATCACAGCCTTAAAGTGAATCACAACCTTTTTTTCACTTGCAAGTAGGATATTGGCAATTTGGGGGGATATGTTGTGTATCTTTATACGTATATGCTTCTAAACTGTTGTGTTCTGAGCACCTCTGCAAAAACAGTGATAATGTGTATGTGTGGTGAAAGTGTTGAATGATAATGAAAGTATTTTCTTTTTGGGGATTTTCTTTCTTTTTTGGGTCACCCTGCCTCGGTGGGAGACGGCCAACTTGTTGGAAAAAAAAAAAAAAAGTAGGATGGCCCAAACAAGAAAAACTTTCATCATCATTCACTCTATCACTTTCTTTCCAGAGACACGTTCACACTACAGTTATAAAACTGCAACATTAACACCCCTCCTTCAGAGTGTAGGAATTGTACTTCTCATCTCCAGGACTCAAAATATGTTTACACTATTATTTATTAAATGTACAATAGCACTAGGCCTAAAAAAAAAAATAAGATGCAGATAAAAGTAATAAATTAACAATTACCAAAAGCCATCTTAAGAGCAAGGCAAGTGCTGAAAATAATAAATGTGAATATAATTGAAAAGTGCCATATTAGCAAAGCACTCTAAAGTGAATGCCCTATTAATGAGGTATGCCTGTATACAACAAGGTACATCGTATTATTTCTAACATTTCTTGCTCTAAATTCTCCCTCACTGACTGCATTACTAATGTTTTCCGTCACTTTCTCCTGAACTTCAAAAGTTTTAGTCCTTCCCTTGCTGGTCTGTTTTCTAAGAATTACCACCTTCCTCATCACTATCAATTTTAAATCTGCTACTGATATTGTTATGGTTCTGACAAGGCAATTTGGTGGTTGTCATTAATCACAAGGATTATCTTCAAAAAGTAGAAGCCTTAATCTCTGACTCGTGCATTTACATTTCTTTCATGTCCAACCTTCTTGATTGCATTAAGAGAACTTTAAACCTTAAACTTCATTCTCTCTCTCATCTCTGTTCTGATTTTGATCTTATTCAGCTTTCCTGTGTTTACTGTCCATCTCATCCTTGTTACTGTAGTCTTCCTAAAACTCATAAAGCTGGTATTCCTCTTTGTCTCATCATTTTTCCTCTGGAGGTTCTCTCTCTTAAATAACAAAAAAAGGCACAATACCATGACTGGAACGATACACAAATAACCCGCACATAAAAGAGAGAAGCTTACGACGACGTTTCAGTCCGACTTGGACCATTTACAAAGTCACACTAACCAGAAGTGGAGCAGGACGGCTATATATAGACAGGAAGAGGTGGTGGTAGTAGTAGTAGTACAAGAATGGTATATAATACCGACAAGATGAAATTAAGACACATGCGCAACACCCGGGCATCCCTATCATAGACGTTTCGCCATCCACTTCTGGTTAGTGTGACTTTGTAAATGGTCCAAGTTGGACCGAAACGTCGTCGTAAGCTTCTCTCTTTTATGTGCGGGTTATTTGTGTTTCTCTCTCTTATCCTCTTGCTTCCTAGCTGGCCAAAACTCTCCCCCCCTGTTTTTTTCTTCTTTGTTTTCTCCTGCCCACCTTCAAGACTTCATTAAGTGTGTTCAACTACACGTGACGTATAAGATGCTGTGTCTTGATGTTGTGTCTCTCTTCATTAATGTTCCTCTAGATGATAAACTCAGTTTTATCATAGTGAAAGCCAGTGGAAGGCTGCTCTTTTTCTGACAGAGCACAAAAGTAGTACAGTGGACCCCCGGTTTACGATATTATTTCATTCCAGAAGTATGTTCAGGTGCCAGTACTGAACGAATTTGTTCCCATAAGGAATATTGTGAATTAGATTAGTCCATTTCAGACCCCCAAACATACATGTACAAACGCACTTAAATAAATACACTTACATAATTGGTCGCATTGGGAGGTGATCGTAAAGCGGGGGTCCACTGTATTCATCTTCCTGACACCAACAGTTTTCTTTCCTGTCATGTTCTAGATCAGTCATCCTATCAACTCGTCCTCTGCTAAAACTGTCTACCTTCTATTCTTCACAGATGCCATCTTATCAAAACAGTGCTTATTCACAACATTCCAACTTGAATTTTAGTCTTGGCTTTGTAGTCTGTTGATGTCTATCTTTCTCATTATGTTGTCAAATGCTCTAATCTTCTGAACATTCATCACTTAATCTGACCTAGCCTCCTCCTCTCTTTTCCTCTTGTACTGCCTTCTGTATTTTCCTTGTCTTTCCTGTCTTCTACCTTGGTGGGTTTTGTCCTGTCCTTGGGTTTCCTCTGTTCTTTCACTATGTAGTACCACTACTAATACCATTACTATGTCTTTCACTACTACTACTACACTTACACACTATTACTTTTACCCATAGTAACACTATTACTACTACTACTACTGCTTCCTGTTTTCTACTACGACCTGTGCTGCACTACCTCTATTATTACTTCCACTGCTATTAATATTATTTTCTTCCTGCGTGCCTCCCATTCTGTCTTCAGGCCTACTATTCCATTTTCTAATTTAATTGTGACTTGTCAGGGGATGATGGACCAAAGCATCAAAAATTTCCTCTCCTGAGTGCAAGTTATTTGTATGTTCTTCCAGTCATGGTATTACTACTTATCGTCCTTGCTAATTTTTGTTTGTTTTTTGTTACAGGTACATGGGTATAGGTCTTTCATCACAAGGTGTCAATATGAACCGTTTGCCGGGGTGGGACAAAAATTCCTTTGGCTATCACGGTGATGACGGGCATTCCTTTTGTTCCTCGGGTAGTGGCCATCCTTACGGCCCAACATTTACCACAGGTATTAATAATATTTTAGCATGATAAAGGTTGACTATCACTAATCCAGCATCATCGGGATCTGTAGGGTGCCAGATTGGTGATTTTGCCAGATTACAGAGTGGTTAGGTTAGAATACACTTAACCCAATGGCAATATTTATGCATTGGCAGTTTCACCCAGTTTCATGCAACCCCACTTTGTGTGGTATTTTGTAATTCATGCAACCCCGTTTTCTTTGGTATATGTACAACAAATACAGTGGACCCCCGCATAACGATTACCTCCGAATGTGACCAATTATGTAAGTGTATTTATGTAAGTGCGTTTGTACGTGTATGTTTGGGGGTCTGAAATGGACTAATCTACTTCACAATATTTCTTATGGGAACAAATTCGGTAGTACTGGCACCTGATCATACTTCTGGAGTGAAAAAATATCGTTAACCGGGGGTCCACTGTAGTATATGGTAATAATTTAATTTAGTAAAACTAAAGTTAAACGTACGGGTACTCACCGATAATGATTGATCTCGTTCTCTCTACAGCACTAAAAATTTATACAGTATTATATTTTATATGGAAAATTTGCTGAATTTGTTAATATTTATGTTACAAAATTATTAAATTATATTTTTCTTAATATTTAGCATTAAAATGCATAAAAAATTATATGCCATGAAAAAAGCCAAAAAAATTCTGTGAATTTGCAGGGATTTCCACAAACAATTATCAGTTCGGTTCTAAGGAAAAATCCGTGAATTTGGAACCGCGAATTCGCTGGGTTCCACTGTACAACCATAAAAACCATACAGAAATACGCCACAAAGGTGCTGTTTTTTACACCAAAAACATGGTTGCAGCTTTTTCTCATGTACTGCATGCTGCAGGATTTTTTTTTATAGTACACACTTACTACACAGACGTATTCTCTCTTATGTAGACCCAAATTTACCAGTCACGGCTTATCTGAATGAGCTGAAGTTGCTTTATGAACACTTGTCCTGTAATGTGGTGGAGAAGGATATAAATACAGCCTCTCCTCATTTAGCAGCGCACTCATTTACCAACAACTCGGACTTACCGTGGACTCTCTGACCAGCATGCATACCTAAATGATGTATATTTGAGCTGATTTCCTCAATTCTGTTTATTACAATATATGTACAGTACAATGCTGTATAAACACAAATATACCAGAAATGTTATAAATGGTGCAGAGGTGACATTAAAGCAATATCAAAGATGGTTGACACAAACCCACTACCATTATAGTGTGCTCCTCAGCAACAAATTCGTTTACCTACATGGTCTTAGGAATGGGACTCCATCGCTAAGTGAGGAGAGGCTGTGCTGTACTTTCTGATATATGAAGTGCACAAATGTTAGCTGCTTGCTGGCACAATGTTTCCAAGCCGTTGTAACATAACATTAGTAAACAACTGCTGAAGTGTAACACAAAGCGCTCCCTTGACCCTGACCTTGAGTATACAAGGCACAGACTAATTTTCAAAGACTTCTTGTGGGGAAAAAAAAGCTTACCTTATATGCTTGAAAATGTGGTGTATTTAAGAATTGCTTACAGGAAATTTATTTATGCTAATGTTTGTAACTATTTAATATCAGGTATTGAAAACGTTTATATTGCCAGATGGTTCAAGTACAGTTTTTGAATATATTTCATCCCAAGTTTTGTATTGTGACATTTGTTATTGGTTTCAGGTGATGTAATTGGCTGTGGTATCAACCTCATCGATAATGTTTGTTTCTACACAAAAAATGGACATTACCTTGGTGTAGCATTTACAGATTTACCGGTGAGTATTTGCTCTAATACATGGAGTAATTTTTTGAGACCTTAACAAAACTGCCATCATTGTTTTTGTCATCTTTGACCTGTTGTCGTTTGTGAAGAAAAATTGTCTGATGCAGGGAAATTTTTCCCTGATAAATTAACTGTTTTGGTACTTTACACTGTCCCTTCAAGGAAAAGTACTTTACACTGCCCCTTCAAGGAAAAGTACTTTACACTGTCCCTTCAAGGAAAAGTACTTTACACTGTCCCTTCAAGGAAAAGTACTTTACACTGTCCCTTCAAGGAAAAGTACTTTACACTGTCCCTTCAAGGAAAAGTACTTTACACTGTCCCTTCAAGGAAAAGTACTTTACACTGTCCCTTCAAGGAAAAGTACTTTGTACTGTCCCTTCAAGGAAAAGTACTTTACACTGTCCCTTCAAGGAAGAGTACTTTACACTGTCCCTTCAAGGAAAAGTACTTTATACTGTCCCTTCAAGGAAAAGTACTTTACACTGTCCCTTCAAGGAAAAGTACTTTACACTGCCCCTTCAAGGAAAAGTACTTTACACTGTCCCTTCGAGGAGAAGGGGAGTCTTATGCTGGTTCAGGTTCATGTAGGTTTGCGAGGACAGGTCCTGGCCTGGGTCTTCTCTATGTGGTGACCCTGGCAGTGCCTCCTGAAGGAGTTTCGGAGTGTGTACAAGTGATGTACCATTGGTGTCATCTTGATCAAAGGAATTAACACACCACCTTGGCTGAGAACTAATTGCTTCCCATTATTCAGATGGTGTATGACCCTCATGGATATAATAATTCACTCTTTATGGGCTGAAGCTAGGTTGAATACAGTGAAGAATTGTGGGATTCTGGTTGAACAAGGTGAAGAATACACAAATAACCCGCACATAAAAGAGAGAAGCTTACGACGACTTTTCGGTCCGACTTGGACCATTTACAAAGTCACACTCGGACCGAAACGTTGTCGTAAGCTGCTTCTCTTTTATGTGTGGGTTATTTGTGTATCGTTCCAGTCACGGTATTGTGCCTTTTTTTGTTATTTAAGGTGAAGAATGCTATTTTTATTTTTAACACACTGACCTTCTCCCACCAAGGCAGGGTGACCATCATTCACACTATCACTGTCTGGCCAGAGGTGTGCAGATACAATAGTTCAGATGTCACTGTAAACAGCAGATGTCACAAACCCCTCCTTTAGAGTGCAGGCACTGTACCTCCCACCTCCAGGACTCAAGTCCAGCTAACCAGTTTCTCTGAATCTCTTGTGAAATATTAATGTTATTTACCTCACAATGTGAAACTGTGGCAGTGATATATATATACCTTTGAAGAGTTTTGAGGGTTTCACTACTCTAGGAGCCTGACCCTGGGCCAGGCTCGTGATGTTGCATAGTCTGACCCTTCAAGGCAGGTGGCTTGAGGCCATTGAGGGGCTCGTGCTTCAAGGAATTGAATCTGACCCCCCCTTCCTCCTTGGATTGAATCCAATTTCCTCCTAATCCCCAAGGTGCTGAATGATGTGTATGAGTTTACAGGCCATGATGAATTGAAGAAACCCAGATGGAGATGAACAGTGTAGAGTGACTACTGAAGATTGTCTCAGATGGAGACTGAGATGTACAGTCTTCCTCTTTATTGTGTTTGTCTCCATGTAAATATTCTCAATTATTAATGCATATTCTGTGTGAAAGCAAATGTAAAATTTGTTAGAAAGAGAGAGAGAGAGAGAGAGAGAGAGAGAGAGAGAGTGAGTGAGAGTGAGTGTGTGAGTGAGAATGAGTGTGAGAGTGAGTGAGTGTCTATTCTGACAGATAATTATTTTCTTTACAAACTCACTCTACCATACTTGTTGGTACGATTTACCAGTCAAACTAAATGCACAAGTTGCTGAGTTTCATTGGCATTTTTGCTCCTCCTGACCTTTACTAAGTCATGATGAAGCTTCACAAAGTGAAATGTTATTCTGCGTCTTGTGTCTTTGCCTTCATATTTGTTAACAAAGACATATTTATATTTGTAAACCAAGATATGTCCTTGTTTTTTGTGTACGATGTACATTTGTATGCTCTGTATGATTTTGTTTTAGTCATTGTCGCTTAGAAAGTCAAAATGCAACTACTACTTAAAACCTCTTTATTAAAAACATTTCAGTCTTAAGACCTTGATCACTCCAAGGTCCCAAAGACTGAAACATGTCGAATATCCCTGGAGGGTGTTCCAGGGGTCAACACCCCTGCAGCCCGGTCCATAACCAGGCCTCACGGTGGACCAGAGACTGATCAACCGGGCTGTTACTGCCAGCTTAAGTTATTGCATTTTGTCTTTTTCCGCTGGTCAGTATTGTGCACCTATCTCATTTCTATTATATCTTTTCAGCCCCAGTTATACCCGACAGTAGGGTTACAAACTCCAGGGGAGGTAGTAGATGCAAATTTCGGTCAGGCCCCTTTTGTTTTCGACATTGGAGAAATGATGCGTGAGTCACAGTGCCGTGTGCGGACGACAATCCAAAACTTCCCTGTCCCGGATACCTATGGACAGTGGCAAACTATGCTCCATAGGTGAGTTATCAGTCAATTATGCTTGTCTTTTTTTTTTAACCCAGGGTGTTTTTTGCCATGGTAGGATGACCCTCAAAAGGAAATGTAGTCATCATCATTCATTGAAGAGTTGTCATACCAGAAGTGCATACCCAGCAAGGTCAGTTGCTCTAGTTTAGGAGGCCTGGTCATAGACCCGGCCACAGGGGTGTTGACCCCCCGAAACCTTCTCCAGGTATATATGACAGTTTAAGTGGCCTCTGAACCACAGCATCCTCATCTGTCCTTCCAAGTGCAGTTTCCATACTTTTCACCCACAACATCCCCTGCTATCCTTCAGAGGACAGCTTTCATAATTCTCACTTTTCACCCACAACATCCCCTGTGGGGATGTTGTGGGTGAATAAATAAATAAATAAAAAAAATCCCCTGCAATCCTTCAGAGTGCAAGCACTATACTTCCGCCTCCAGAACTGAGATCATTTAATGTTTCAACTAAAGTACTCGTCAAATTTACATTGGGTCAGAATTTTATTAAAAAACAAAAACAAAAAGGAATTGATGGCCTGAAACCTTGTCCAATTACAGTGATTTATTTTCTATTTCTTGCATGTGTGTACTCTTGTTTTCTGGAAAAATAGTGAAGGTATTAATAATTACATTTTTTGCAGTTATGAAAGTAAATTTATGCTCACTTTCACTATTTATTACCTAATTTTTTGAATTACCCATGATTGTAGAATTAACTATCTCCATTTGTGTTTTATGTGGGCTTTTTGTATGTGTCAGCTCCATTACAGGTGCTCCTTGACTTACGAACACTCTACTTATGATATTTCAACTTTACGATGGTGCAAAAGCAATTAGTTACAGTAATTGTTTGTTTATTTACTTATTCAGTGACAGTAGTTATTTATTTACTCATTTAGCATATTATATTATTTTTTTTTTTTTCAACAAGTCGGTCGTCTCCCACCGAGGCAGGGTGACCCACCGAGGCAGGGTGACCCAAAAAAGAAAGAAAATCCCCAAAAAGAAAATACTTTCATCATCATTCAACACTTTCACCACACTCACACATTATCACTGTTTTTGCAGAGGTGCTCAGAATACAACAGTTTAGAAGCATACACATATAAAGATACACAACATATCCCTCCAAACTGCCAATATCCCAAACCCCTCCTTTAAAGTGCAGGCATTGTACTTCCCATTTCCAGGACTCAAGTCCGGCTATATGAAAATAACCGGTTTCCCTGAATCCCTTCACTAAATATTACCCTGCTCACACTCCAACAGATCGTCAGGTCCCAAGTATCATTCGTCTCCATTCACTCCTATCTAACACGCTCACGTACGCTTGCTGGAAGTCCAGGCCCCTTGCCCACAAAACCTCCTTTACCCCCTCTCTCAAACCCTTTCGAGGACGACCCCTACCCCGCCTTCCTTTCCCTATAGATTTATATGCTTTCCATGTCATTCTACTTTGATCCATTCTCTCTAAATGACCAAACCACCTCAACAACCCCTCTTCTGCCCTCTGACTAATACTTTTATTAACTCCACACCTTTTCCTGATTTCCACACTCCGAATTTTCTGCATAATATTTACACCACACATTGCTCTTAAACAGGACATCTCCACTGCCTCCAACCGTCTCCTCGCTGTTGCATTTACCACCCAAGCTTCACACCCATATAAGAGTGTTGGTACTACTATACTTTCATACATTCCCTTCTTTGCTCCCATAGATAACGTTTTTTGACTCCACATATACCTCAACGCACCACTCACCTTTTTTCCCTCATCAATTCTATGATTAACCTCATCCTTCATAAATCCATCCGCCAACACGTCAACTCCCAAGTATCTGAAAACATTCACTTCTTCCATACTCCTCCTCCCCAATTTGATATCCAATTTTTCTTTATCTAAATCATTTGATACCCTCATCACCTTACTCTTTTCTATGTTCACTTTCAACTTTCTACCTTTACACACATTCCCAAACTCATCCACTAACCTTTGCAATTTTTCTTTAGAATCTCCCATAAGCACAGTATCATCAGCAAAAAGTAACTGTGTCAATTCCCATTTTGAATTTGATTCCCCATAATTTAATCCCACCCCTCTCCCGAACACCCTAGCATTTACTTCCTTTACAACCCCATCTATAAATATATTAAACAACCATGGTTACATTACACATCCTTGTCTAAGAAATACTTTTACCGGGAAGTATTCTCCCTCTCTTCTACACACCCTAACCTGAGCCTCACTATCCTCATAAAAACTCTTTACAGCATTTAATAACTTACCACCTATTCCATATACTTGCAACATCTGCCACATTGCTCCTCTATCCACTCTATCATATGCCTTTTCTAAATCCATAAATGCAATAAAAACTTCCCTACCTTTATCTAAATACTGTTCACATATATGCTTCAATGTAAACACTTGATCTACACATCCTCTACCCACTCTGAAACCTCCTTGCTCATCCGCAATCCTACATTCTGTCTTACCTCTAATTCTTTCAATTATAACCCTGCCGTACACTTTTCCTGGTATACTCAGTAAACTTATTCCTCTATAATTTTTACAGTCTCTTTTGTCCCCTTTCCCTTTATATAAAGGGACTATACATGCTCTCTGCCAATCCCTAGGTACCTTTCCCTCTTTCATACATTTATTAAACAAAAGTACCAACCACTCCAACACTGTCCCCCCCTGCTTTTAACATTTCTGTCATGATCCCATCAGTTCCAGCTGCTTTACCCCCTTTCATTCTACGTAATGCCTCACGTACCTCCACCACACTTACATTCTGCTCTTCTTCACTCCTAAAAGATGGTATACCTCCCTGACCAGTGCATGAAATTACTGCCTCTGTTTCTTCCTTAACATTTAAAAGTTCCTCAAAATATTCTCGCCATCTACCTAATACCTCCCTCTCCCCATCTACTAACTCCCCTACTCTGTTTTTAACTGACAAATCCATACTTTCCCTAGGCTTTCTTAACTTGTTTAACTCCAAAATTTTTTATTTTCATTAAAATTTCTTGACAGTGCCTCTCCCACTCTATCATCTGCTCTCCTTTTGCACTCTCTCACCACTCTCTTTACCTTTCTTTTACTCTCCATATACTCTGCTCTTCTTATAACACTTCTGCTTTGTAAAAACCTCTCATAAGCTATCTTTTTCTCTTTTATCACACCCTTTACTTCATCATTCCACCAATCACTCCTCTTTCCTCCTGCCCCCACCCTCCTATAACCACAAACTTCTGCCCCACATTCTAATACTGCATTTTTTAAACTATTCCAACCCTCTTCAACCCCCCCCACTACTCATCTTTGCACTAGCCCACCTTTCTGCCAATAGTCGCTTATATCTCACCCGAACTTCCTCCTCCCTTAGTTTATACACTTTCACCTCCCTCTACTTGTTGTTGCCACCTTCCTCTTTTCCCATCTACCTCTTACTCTAACTGTAGCTACAACTAAATAATGATCTGATATATCAGTTGCCTCTCTATAAACATGTACATCCTGGAACCTACCCATCAACCTTTTATCCACCAATACATAATCTAATAAACTACTTTCATTACGTGCTACATCATACCTTGTATATTTATTTATCCTCTTTTTCATAAAATATGTATTACTTATTACCAAATCTCTTTCTACACATAGCTCAATTAAAGGCTCCCCATTTACATTTACCTCTGGCACCCCAAATTTACCTACTACTCCCTCCTTAACATTTTTACCCACTTTAGCCTTGAAATCTCCAACCACCATTACTCTCACACTTGATTCAAAACTCCCCATGCATTCACTCAACATTTCCCAAAATCTCTCTCTCTCCTCTACACTTCTCTCTTCTCCAGGTGCATACACGCTTATTATAACCCACTTTTCACATCCAATCTTTATTTTACTCCACATAATCCTTGAATTAATACATTTATAGTCCCTCTTTTCCTGCCATAGCTTATCCTTCAACATTATTGCTACTCCTTCTTTAGCTCTAACTCTATATGAAACCCCTGACCTAATCCCATTTATTCCTCTCCATTGAAACTCTCCCACCCCCTTCAGCTCTACTTCACTTAAAGCCAGGACATCCAGCTTCTTCCCATTCATAACATCCATAATCATCTCTTTCTTATCATTTGCACAACATCTACACACATTCAGACTTCCCAATTTGACAATTTTCTTCTTCTTATTCTTTTTAGTAATCTTTACAGGAAAAGGGGTTACTAGCTCATTGTTCCCGGCATTTTAGTTGACTTTTACAACACGCATGGCTTACGGAGGAAAGATTCTTATTCCACTTCCCCATGGATATAAAAGGAAAAGTAATAAGACTAAGAACTATTAAGATAAAATCAAAGAAAACTCAGATGAGTGTGTATAAATAAATGTGTAGATGTATGTGTAGTGTGACCTAAGTGTAAGTAGAAGTAGCAAGACGTACCTGTAATCTTGCATATTTATGAGACAGACAAAAGACATCAGCAATCCTACCATCATGTAAAACAATCACAGGCTTTCATTTTACACTCACTTGGCAGGACGGTAGTACCTCCCTGGGTGGTTGCTGTCTACCAACCTACTACCTATATTCATATCATATCATATATCATATTCATGTCACCCTGCCTCGGTGGGAGACGGCCGACTTGTTGAAAAAAAAAAAAATGAGGCTTACGATATTTTTGACTTAAAATGGTGTTCATCAGAATGTAAACTCCTCGTAAGTTGAGGAGCACCTGTGCCTCGGGTAATTTACACTACGAGGAGTGAATTCACTCGTGTATTCGAACACTAACTGTAGCAACATGAAAAGTGACTTGGAGGATGCTGTGTGTGTACAGAAGACTTGAGCTTTCCCAGAAAGGAAATACGTATAACAAAAGCATTCTTGTATAAGTATTATAATTTGAAACTGGAATTAATATAAAGTAAAAACAGATATTGGCAGTTTGGAGGGATATGTTGTGTATCTTTATGTGTGTATGCTTCTAGACTGTTGTATTCTGAGCACCTCTGCAAAAACAGTGATAATGTGCGAGTGAGGTGAAAGTGTTGAATGATGATGAAAGTATTTTCTTTTTGGGGATTTTCTTTCTTTTTTTTTGGGTCACCCTGCCTCGGTGGGAGACGGCCGACTTGTTGAAAAAAAAAAAAAAAAAAACAGATATTCTTACATGAATATTAAGCTGTGTTTAACATTAGTATACTAACCATACCATGGACTGGGATTGAACTCATAGTGAGTGAGTCATAAAACTCGCCACGAATTCAGTCTCCGCCTGTGGTATGGTTCGTTTGCAATCGTGTCATTTCGATTTCGTGAGTCACGATAACTGCTTTGAGGGAACTAGAGTGAGAGTTCGTCATGACCACACTAGCGGGAGATTCATCTGTAAAAACTTGCATCTGTGGTCACAGTGGCACCTCTGGCAAGACAGTGATGGAGTGAATGATGATGAAAGTGTTTTTCCTTTTTTGGGTCACCCTGCCTCAGTGGGAAACGTCCAGTATGTTTATAAAAAAAAATAAGTCTTCAGCAGTGAATATTATGCATGTTTGTCACTTTATGCGAAAGAATTTTATTACTAATGTAGCTTATATTGTCAGAATGGTGTCCACGTACCTTGTCCATCATGGTTACTGTGCCACAGCGGAAGCCTTTGCCAGATCCACTAGTCAAGATTTTGATGAGGAACTCACCTCTATAAAAAATAGACAAAGTAAGTTCATCAAACCATACAATGTTAGAGTAAGTACAGTGGAACCTCCACTAACGAGCTTAATCTATTTTGTGACCTTGCTCGCATCTGGATATGCTTGATTGTGGAGTCAGTTTTCCTCATTTAAATTAATTGAAATGCAATTTGTTCCAGTGTAATTCCAGGCACCATAATATACTTCAATAATTTCCCTAATATCAACTCTATGGCTTATTTATCCATCAAAATTCATCTAATATGACATAATAAACAATATTAATAATGTAGAAACATGATATATACACTAGAATGAATGAAATATTACGTGTGTGAGTAGTGTTAGTGGCTGTCATTGTTGTTGGGGCCACCACAGCGGCCATTCCTCCTACTGACTTCATACCTTCCTATGCGGAGTGTTTGTAAGCCATACTCTATTAGATCATCCTTTTTCTATCACTTAATCATTTAATTGCTGCACTCTTAATGATACACTCTTAATGATACACTCTTAATGATACACTCTTAATGATACACTCTTAATGATACACTCTTAATGATACACTCTTAATGATACACTCTTAGTGCTACACTCTTAGTGCTACACTCTTAGTGCTGCACTCTTAGTGCTGCACTCTTAATGATACACTCTTAATGATACACTCTTAGTGCTGCACTCTTAGTGCTACACTCTTAGTGCTGCACTCTTAGTGCTACACTCTTAATGATACACTCTTAGTGCTGCACTCTTAGTGCTACACTCTTAGTGCTGCACTCTTAGTGCTACACTCTTAGTGCTGCACTCTTAGTGCTGCACTCTTAGTGCTGCACTCTTAGTGCTACACTCTTAGTGCTACACTCTTAGTGCTACACTCTTAGTGCTACACTCTTAGTGCTGCACTCTTAGTGCTACACTCTTAGTGCTGCACTCTTAGTGCTGCACTCTTAGTGCTACACTCTTAGTGCTACACTCTTAGTGCTACACTCTTAGTGCTACACTCTTAGTGCTACACTCTTAGTGCTACACTCTTAGTGCTACACTCTTAGTGCTACACTCTTAGTGCTACACTCTTAATGATACACTCTTAGTGCTGCACTCTTAGTGCTGCACTCTTAGTGCTACACTCTTAGTGCTACACTCTTAGTGCTACACTCTTAGTGCTACACTCTTAGTGCTACACTCTTAGTGCTACACTCTTAATGATACACTCTTAGTGCTGCACTCTTAGTGCTGCACTCTTAGTGCTGCACTCTTAGTGCTACACTCTTAGTGCTACACTCTTAGTGCTACACTTAATGCTACACTCTTAATGCCACACTCTTAGTGCTACACTCTTAATGCTACACTGAATGCTACACTCTTAATGCTACACCTAGTTTGTGTTTATGTATGATTTCCTGCTTTAATTCCATGGAAATCATCCTCTTTTTTTCATTTCAGCACTCTCCTTTTGCACTTGCTTTCTTAGGACCCATTGTTAGAAACAAGAAATTTCACAAAATAACTGCACAAACCGTAAGGAAAACATGAGAATTTTGCTCCCTCCCTGAGCGGCGATGTTTCAATACACATACGTACTAACATCTAGTGGTGGTGACCTGAATCTCACTTATAGTATTATTATTATTACTATTATACAGTGGTCCCTCGCTTTTCGTAGTTCTCGGCAATCGTAAATTTCGCCAATCATAGGGATATTTTCATATAAACATGGGCTCGCTTTTCATAGGTTGACTTGCGAGTCGTAGTTCGTCCGGGACGCGTACCCACGGCATGAGCCGTGGCGGCAGCCAGTCTCGTATTGTTTACCAGTGAGCGAAGGTCCCCTCACGTGCTCCAGTGAAATATTTCATAATATTCCATTTATTTTAGTGCTTGCAAGTACTAAATAAGCTACCATGGCTCCAAAGAAAGCTCCTAATGCTAAGCCTGTGGTAAAGAAGGTGAGAAATACGATTGAATTTAAGAAAACCATCATTGAACAATATGAAAGTGGTACAAGTGTGGCCGAACTGGCCAGGATGTATAAGAAACCCTACACAACCTTATGTTCCATAGTGGCCAAGAAAAAGGTAATCAAGGAAGCTGTTGTTGCAAAGGGGGTAAATATGCTAACAAAAATGAGATCACCAGTACTCGAAGAGGTTGAGAAGTTATTATTGGTGTGAATAAATGAGAAACAATTAGCAGGAGATACTCTTATGACTTCGATTATTTGTGAAAAGGCTAGGCAGTTGCATGACGATTTGGTAAAGAAATTGCCTGCAACTAGTGGTGATGTGAGTGAATTTAAGGCCAGCAAAGGCTGGTTTGAGAGATTTAAGAACCGTACTGGCATACACAGTGTGGTAAGGCATGGTGAGGCTGCCAGTTCGGACCACAAGGCGGCTGAAAAATTTTTATTTTATTTTTTTTTTTTTATTATCACACCGGCCGATTCCCACCAAGGCAGGGTGGCCCGAAAAAGAAAAACTTTCACCATCATTCACTCCATCACTGTCTTGCCAGAAGGGTGCTTTACACTACAGTTTTTAAACTGCAACATTAACACCCCTCCTTCAGAGTGCAGGCACTGTACTTCCCATCTCCAGGACTCAAGTCCGGCCTGCCGGTTTCCCTGAATCCCTTCATAAATGTTACTTTGCTCACACTCCAACAGCACGTCAAGTATTAAAAACCATTTGTCTCCATTCACTCCTATCAAACACGCTCAAGCATGCCTGCTGGAAGTCCAAGCCCCTCGCACACAAAACCTCCTTTACCCCCTCCCTCCAACCCTTCCTAGGCCGACCCCTACCCCGCCTTCCTTCCACTACAGACTGATACACTCTTGAAGTCATTCTGTTTCGCTCCATTCTCTCTACATGTCCGAACCACCTCAACAACCCTTCCTCAGCCCTCTGGACAACAGTTTTGGTAATCCCGCACCTCCTCCTAACTTCCAAACTACGAATTCTCTGCATTATATTCACACCACACATTGCCCTCAGACATGACATCTCCACTGCCTCCAGCCTTCTCCTCGCTGCAACATTCATCACCCACGCTTCACACCCATATAAGAGCGTTGGTAAAACTATACTCTCATACATTCCCCTCTTTGCCTCCAAGGACAAAGTTCTTTGTCTCCACAGACTCCTAAGTGCACCACTCACTCTTTTTCCCTCATCAATTCTATGATTCACCTCATCTTTCATAGACCCATCCGCTGACACGTCCACTCCCAAATATCTGAATACGTTCACCTCCTCCATACTCTCTCCCTCCAATCTGATATTCAATCTTTCATCACCTAATCTTTTTGTTATCCTCATAACCTTACTCTTTCCTGTATTCACCTTTAATTTTCTTCTTTTGCACACCCTACCAAATTCATCCACCAATCTCTGCAACTTCTCTTCAGAATCTCCCAAGAGCACAGTGTCATCAGCAAAGAGCAGCTGTGACAACTCCCACTTTGTGTGTGATTCTTTATCTTTTAACTCCACGCCTCTTGCCAAGACCCTCGCATTTACTTCTCTTACAACCCCATCTATAAATATATTAAACAACCACGGTGACATCACACATCCTTGTCTAAGGCCTACTTTTACTGGGAAAAAATTTCCCTCTTTCCTACATACTCTAACTTGAGCCTCACTATCCTCGTAAAAACTCTTCACTGCTTTCAGTAACCTACCTCCTACACCATACACTTGCAACATCTGCCACATTGCCCCCCTATCCACCCTGTCATACGCCTTTTCCAAATCCATAAATGCCACAAAGACCTCTTTAGCCTTATCTAAATACTGTTCACTTATATGTTTCACTGTAAACACCTGGTCCACACACCCCCTACCTTTCCTAAAGCCTCCTTGTTCATCTGCTATCCTATTCTCCGTCTTACTCTTAATTCTTTCAATTATAACTCTACCATACACTTTACCAGGTACACTCAACAGACTTATCCCCCTATAATTTTTGCACTCTCTTTTATCCCCTTTGCCTTTATACAAAGGAACTATGCATGCTCTCTGCCAATCCCTAGGTACCTTACCCTCTTCCATACATTTATTAAACAATTGCACCAACCACTCCAAAACTATATCCCCACCTGCTTTTAACATTTCTATCTTTATCCCATCAATCCCGGCTGCCTTACCCCCTTTCATTTTACCTACTGCCTCACGAACTTCCCCCACACTCACAACTGGCTCTTCCTCACTCCTACAAGATGTTATTCCTCCTTGCCCTATACACGAAATCACAGCTTCCCTATCTTCATCAACATTTAACAATTCCTCAAAATATTCCTTCCATCTTCCCAATACCTCTAACTCTCCATTTAATAACTCTCCTCTCCTATTTTTAACTGACAAATCCATTTGTTCTCTAGGCTTTCTTAACTTGTTAATCTCACTCCAAAACTTTTTCTTATTTTCAACAAAATTTGTTGATAACATCTCACCCACTCTCTCATTTGCTCTCTTTTTACATTGCTTCACCACTCTCTTAACCTCTCTCTTTTTCTCCATATACTCTTCCCTCCTTGCATCACTTCTACTTTGTAAAAACTTCTCATATGCTAACTTTTTCTCCCTTACTACTCTCTTTACATCATCATTCCACCAATCGCTCCTCTTCCCTCCTGCACCCACTTTCCTGTAACCCACAAACTTCTGCTGAACACTCTAACACTACATTTTTAAACCTACCCATACCTCTTCGACCCCATTGCCTATGCTCTCATTAGCCCATCTATCCTCCAATAGCTGTTTATATCTTACCCTAACTGCCTCCTCTTTTAGTTTATAAACCTTCACCTCTCTCTTCCCTGATGCTTCTATTCTCCTTGTATCCCATCTACCTTTTACTCTCAGTGTAGCTACAACTAGAAAGTGATCTGATATATCTGTGGCCCCTCTATAAACATGTACATCCTGAAGTCTACTCAACAGTCTTTTATCTACCAATACATAATCCAACAAACTACTGTCATTTCGCCCTACATCATATCGTGTATACTTATTTATCCTCTTTT